CTCCCCTACCACATTTCCACACTGTTCGGTTTACTGCTCTGATCTCACACTATAAGGTGCTTGCTACTGTCACGATAGTCTGGATCTTCCATCTGGAGAAGTCCTGTGTGTGGTCGCCTCATTGGTCTTGCAAAATTCTACCATCTGATCTCCAACTTCATTTCTATCCCCAAGGCCATATGTTCCAACTACTAGTCCTTCCTCTTTATTGACAACTTTTGCATTCCAATCACCAATAATTATCAATACTTCTTGATTGCATGTTCAGCTCGACTTGACAAGGCAGATTTTCCTTGGTCACATATGAGTGCCCTCTGACCGGAGGGGCTCGTCTCCTGGCACTATCCCTGACCATGTTCAGCTTCTACTCACTAGACCTTTGGTGTCTGACATTTCAACGCTATGCATAAGATTTTAAGTGGCTAATTCCTCTGAAATGGACAGTCTTATTCCTTCTTCATAGTCTGTTCTTACACTGAAAACTTGGCCGAAACCTAGTCCCTTTGGGTCATCCTTCAGGTATTTGCAGTAGCAGCGACATAGCTTTCAGCCTCGCAGCCTAACACAAGTCACCGCAGAACGACAGACTGACAGCCAACTGGACCAGTAGGTGACATCATGAGAAACGGAGAAAAGACTGACGTTGTCAAGGATTTCATCTTATTTGGATCCACCGTCAGTTCTCAGGGACGCAGCAGTCAAGAGATCAAAGGACAGGTTGTGCTGGATAAGACCTCATTGAAGTGTTGAAAAGCCAGGATGTTAACTTTGAACACTAAGCTGCCCCCGACCCAAGACGTGGTATCGTCAGTCACCTCCTATGCAGGTGAGCGTTGGACATCGAGTGAAGAAGACAGGGGAGAATCAGTGCGTTTCAATGATGGTGCTAGCAAAGACTATTGAAAGGACTACGGACTGCCCAAAGGACCAACAAATCTGCCTTGGGAGAAATACAACCAGAGTGCTCCCTACAGGCAAGGATGGCGAGACTTTCTCTTACCTGCTTTGGATATAGTGTCAGGAGAGGCCAGTCCCTGGAGAAGGACGTCATGCTTGGTCAAGTAGAGGGGCAGCGGAAAAGGTGAAAGTCCTCAATGAGATGGATTGATACCTTGGCTGTGATGAGGCTCCGACATAATGCTTCGGAGGAAGGTGCAGGACCGGGCAGGGCTTTGTTCTGTTGCACATTGGGTTGCTATGAGTTGGAGCCAACTTGACGACACCTAACAACAACAACAACAACAACAACAACTGCCATCGTCTCCATTTTCAGATGGGGACATTAAGACCAGTCAGATCAAGCATCATGCCTAGGATCGCACAGCTAGTAAGAGGGGTTCAGAGTGTTTGTGGCTTTTAACTCGTAGCAGGATGAGGAGGGAATACAATGACCTGTATCCTTGCTGCAGTCAGAAGACGAGGGAAGGAAGGAGAGCGGAGGACGAACCCCTCTGGGTATGTGTGTGGGAATAGTGACCATCCGCCTACGTGATCTGGGTCCCTGGGGACCGCAGAGGCCACTGTTGTCACTCCTGCCATGTCAATGGTGGAGCTGGCTAATAAGCGTCTGCTGGTTGATTGATGGGTAGTTCGTCAGGCCTTTTAAAGCCTTAGAATTCTACCAGTCTCTGTGCAAGAAACAGGTTGCAAGGCATGAAAGGCAATTTATCTTTGAAGAATTAAGTGAAATCCTTTAGACTCTTGTTTTTGTGCCTACAGCTATATTTGATGGAAATGTTCTTTCTAGAGCTTTGTCAGTGGTATGGTAATTTAATATGGCTTTTGAAATAACTGTCATGGGACACAGTTATTTACGTGGAGATAACAGCCACTTTGGGTATGCAGATCATTTGAACGATTGCAATGGTCAGAGAGTACTTGTGAAGTTACTTCAGTGACCACATTGAAAAAATACTTTGTCCAGGGTGGAGACAGCCAATCAGGGTGCAGTGTAGCAATGATGAAACATACAACTTTCCTCTGGTTCCTAAATGCTTCCTTCCCTACCCTTCCACTATCATGATCACAATTCTACCTTACAAATCCGATTAGACCAGAGGATGTACATAGATACAGATAGGAACCGGAAACACAGGGAATCCAGGGTGGATGATCCCTTCAGGACCAGTGGTGAGAGTGGCGATACCTGGAAGGTAGAGGGAAGGTAGGGTAGAAAGGGGGAACCGATTATAAGGATCTACATATGACCTCCTCCCTGGGGGATGGACAACAGAAAAGTGGGTGTAGGGAGACGTTGGCCAGTATAAGATATGACAAAATAATAATAATTTATAAATTATCAAGGGTTCATGAGGGAGTGGGGAGCAGGGAAGGAGGGGTACAAATGAGGAGCTGATACCAAGGGCTCAAGTAGAAAGCAAATGTTTTGAGAATGAGGAGGGGAACAAATATGTTTGACACACAGTATATGTATATATGGATTGTGATGAGTTGCATGAGCCCCCAATAAAATGATTAAAAGAAAAAATACTTTGTCATTACAATATACACATATCCATGCATACTTTATATGACCCTGCTTAAAATCTTTGCATGTATCTGATATCCCCGAGTCTCACACAGTCTCTGAGTTTGACATTGAATAGATAGATATTCAAAGGCAAACAAATGCAAATAACACTGTGACTCGGTTGCAGCATGGAAGACCAACAAGCCCACTTCTACACTGCACTTCTGTTCCAGGAGGTTTTAAGGAGGTTGAGTGGGAATTATTATAATAAACAACAACCTGTTGTACTGAAAAAAAAAGTGCTCTTTCTACAGAATTCTATAGAAAAGGATACACTCTCTGAAACATAATTTCAGTAGCCTGAGCTTTAAGTAACTAGAAGTTTTTCATAAGGTGCCCTACTTTGGGCTGAAGTTTACCTTTGCAATATCGATGAACAGAGTGGCAGGGAAACAGATAACTTACGAATTCCTGCAAGCGTTTAATCAGTCTGTTTAAACAACAGAGGCTTGTGAAACTCCTATGTGCCTTCTCGCCAAACAGTTACGGTCAATATTGATCTGACCCTGAACTTTCATTAAAGACGGCTGTTACTGTGATTGTTTAGTTCATGAAGACCTAGTGGTACGAGGCTTGCTATGACTGGCGGCACCGGACAGCAACCACAGCAGCGATCCTTCGAGTCGAAACCATTCTTTAGAAGTTAATGTGTGCATGTTGTCAACCGGTCTTACTTCGCATACGTGAGAAACAAGCGCACAGTGGGGGCCTAGTGAGTGAAGCACTGGGCTGCGATCAACAGGACCAGTGTTTGGACCCACCAGCTACTCTGCAGAAGAACAGACGTGGCTTTCTGCTCCTGTAAAGATTTATAGCCTCAGAAACCCACCGGGCAGTTCTATTCTGTTCTGCAGGGTCACTGTGAATCAGAAGTGACTCGCTGGCTTGACATTTTGGTTTTTGTTTATGAAACGGAGACAGCCCGGATGAAAGACAAATGGAAAACCTTTACCTTGGTTGAGCCAACAGGGAGTGAGTGCTCATACCCATACACCTGGAAGTACGTGGAGGGCATCGTGAACAGGTCACAGATTTCTGAGAAAGGAATCTGCGTTAGGTGTGGTTTCAATTCCTGGCCAGGGGATGGCTTGTCAGGGCTCTCGATTCCACAAGTCCGAGGTGGTCTGGTGACATCTTCCCGGCAGCTTTTGGTGCCTTGACCAGCGCTCTTTTGTTCCAGGGTCAAGTGTCAGTAGTGACCATCGATTCTGCCCCCGTCTGGCGGCTCAGATCTGGTGATAGGCGTTGCTCATTTAAGGCGGTGCGAGATTTGCTCAGAATCACCACTTACACTCTCTGTCCCTCCCTGGCAAAAACACCAAACCAACCAAGCCACATCCGAAAACAAACACGACCAAGCTCAAATTCACTGCCATCGAGTTGATTCTGGGAGAAAGCCTCATTGTTCTCCTGCAGAGTGGTTGGCGGTTTTGAACGGCTGACTTGGTGGTTTTTAGCCCAGTGTGTAACCCACCGCACCACCAGGGCCCTACCTTCCTAGGGGAAAGTGCCAAACAACGCCCCCCCCTCCCCCAGGTTATCCAGAGGTAAAGAACATGGTCATGATGTGTGGTATGTATGCAATGTATGTTTCAGCATCCTGTGGCAGTATCTCTCATCCTCCGATGGTGCCGGCTGTGGGGTTTGCAGTGCTACACAGGGCTAAGTGGGTTCAGGGGCATCTCACATACACTGTTTACGAAGGCAGGGCCTTCAACATGTTCTTGGAAAAATGGAACCCAGGGATAATGGAATTTTTCTACCACCTTCTTGAAGGCCTCACATGTCTAAGTCAGAAACTTACTCCTCTTTCAAGCTAGTCCTTTCAAAAGGTAGATAGTCCCCCCTCAGTGCAGAATCATGAATTTTGATGGCCTTTAAAAAAAAATTAAATCATTTTATTGGGGGCTTGTACAAACAACTCTTATTACAATCCATCCATCCATCCATTGTGTCAAGCACTTTTGTACATTTGTTTCCCTCATCATTCTCAAAACATTTGCTTTCTACTTGAGCCCTTGGTATCAGCTACTCATTTTTTCCCCTCTCTCCCTACCCACCCCTCCCCCACAAACCCTTGAAAATTTACAAATTATTATTATTTTGTCATATCTACACCATCCAATGTCACTTTCACTCACTTCTCCACTGTCTGTCCCCCAGGGAGGAGGTTATATGTAGATCCTTGTAATCGGTTCCCCCTTTCCAACCCCCCTTCCCTCCACCCTCCCTGTATCACCACTCTCACCACTGGTCCTAAGGGGTTCATCCGCCCTGAATTCCCTGTGTTTCCAGTTCCCATCTGTACCAGTGTACATCCTCTGGTCTTTTGTTTTAAATGTAATGGACATGGGGTTGGTGCGCACAGAATTGCTTATTAATGACGAAGAAGAGAGCCTCTTAAGTTGAAGAGAAGAATTCCAGGCCTTTGAGATGCATTGACTAACCGCTTGATGTTTCTTTTCTCAAGGTTCTGATCATCCCCATTGTCTGTCATATAAACTAGAGCTTGGATCAGACCAAGAAATTCCCTCGGATTGGTACCCATTTGCTACTGTTCATTTCGCTACACTTGACACCTGTGCCTCAGGGACAGAGGTCAGGTCTCTGGGCGTGGAGTGCGATGTCCAGCCTCAGAAACATGTTCATCAGCGAGCTTGCTACAATATCCAGGTACATCCCAAGGCCCTTTGGTTCAAGTCGGGGCAGATCTGTACCAGGTGGCAGGCCATTTCCAATTGGTATCCTTCCCTTTAGTGTCTGTTGAGTGGTTCCGAAGGGCCAAGCACTGCTCTAGCTGCGGGGGCACAGTGGGGAGTAAAAGTCAGGTCCCTGACTCCATGGAGCTTACCTCTGGGGGAGACAAAAAAAGAATGAGGAAACAAGTAAATAGTGACGTTTTGGAGAGCGAGGATTACTAAGAAGGGCATAAGATGGGATGGTGGTGTGGACAGGGCTGGAGGGGTTTCTTGTCTGGGGTGGGCAAGGAAGGCCTCGGCGGAGAAGTGACAAGGAGCTGAGATGCAGAAGATGGGGGGCAGGCAGAAGCTTTGCCCAGCTGGCTTTCTAGGTTGTGTTCCAACTAGTTAAGTAATTTGGGGTGAGTTGGAAATCTCTGGTGAACCAGCGGCTGCCTGGGCGGTACTTGGAAGGGTAAGTCTTATTATGTCTAGGCACATCCGCAAACAGCTTATCAATAGTTATAGCCTGTATACATTTTATGAAAACTCTGTGGGGAGCGAGGGCTTCCTTCTCTTCAAGAACAGAACTTAGTGGGAAGCACTTGCATGAATCTGGCCCCCGAAAGGAAAGCAGGGTGCCTGACTATGGGGCTCACATGTGAGGGTGGAGGGGCTGTGTCCTAAGGATCAAGTGGCTACCATCACGTATAAAATAGCACTGTGTAGGCGTTGTTGCCATGTTGCGTTTGTTGATTACTGCCTATGTTGTTTTTGATCCCTAGGTTGAAATAGAGAAGAAATGGATTAAAATGGATGGAGAAGACCCAGATAAAGCTGGTGATTGCCTAACTCAATAAGAGCAGCAAGAGTTTCTGACATGATCCACTCTTCAAATATTTCATTCCTAGAACCATAGCCCGTGCTGCTATTGCATGGTGGCAATTAATTCTGAAAGGAGGGGCTTAGGACAGGGCCCATGGCTGTGGTGAGAGAAGTGTAGACCGAAAGCCAAACTATCCAAATGAGGGTCAGCCGGAAAGGTTTGCTATAAGACCATAGCCCTCGAAGCATATTTTTAAACAAAAATATAAAAATATGGAGCCAGCATGTTTCAATAGTCTCCGTTTATGTTTGAGCAATTCTGACGGTGGTGTTTGCATTTCTCTCACCCGGCCACCAGAATGCCGCACGCCTCAGTTTACACCACGTGAAGATGGCGGTTTGAGCCTCCTTAAGGAGCCCACACAGCATTCCTTTCCAGTGTTATTGGAGTTTGGGGAACAAAGAAAAGTCTAAAAGGGCAAGGTCTGGGGTAAAGGTTCCCATTGGAATGACTCTTGGCAATCTCAAAAAAAATCACCAGGACTTGAGCTGACATCTCTGCCTTGAATTTATCTGGCTCAGCAGATCCCCGTGGAAGCCACTATTCTGAGTGGACAGTTTACTTTGAAGGGGTCCCATGAGACTAAGACAAGCACACCGCTGAGGGAACTTGTCTCCAGCCATCCACCGATCAGAGTCTTGTTAGAACACCTTTTGTTTGGAATAAACCCATGTGTGTATGAACTGGGACCCGTAACAATACTTCTGAACTTACCCTCATTTACCGTATATATGCGAGTATAAGCCGACCCGAATATCCGCCGAGGCACCCAATTTTACCACAAAAAATGCATAAAAGATGTGCTGAAAACTCAGCTTACACTCGAGTATATACGGTGTTTATGTTTTTGATATGTTTGTGGCCTAGGGATTTGATATCTAATGTGTGGGGCTTCTTTGCTTCTGATGGTAACCAAAAGTCACCGTTACTTTCTGTGTGACTCACCAGCCAGGTAGGCTTTGGTGTTTGACTCCTCGTGGGCACCTTGCTTTATGCTCTGGATTTCAGAGGACCCGTATGTGCTGTCCCCAGTCTCAGACTCTTCTTGCTGCCTTGGCACTGGTCCTGGAGGGTGAGACAATCATAAGAGGCCATCCCCTGCCATCGAGCTGATTCCCACTCACCGCAGCCCTAGATGGGGCTTCTGAGGCTATGGATCTTTGTGGGAGCAGACAGCCTCATCTCTCTCCTCCGGGGTGGCTACTGGGTTTGAACTGCTGAGACTTTACGTTAATAGTTAAATGCCTACCCCAACATCACCAACAGGACCTAGTTTTCTGCTCTTGATCATTTCTGGAATGTGCTACGTGTAGAAAGATGTTGATTACCGAGGTAAAAAATGGATATTTGGAAGTTATCTACGATTGGGATTTTTTTTAAATCTCCCTTTTATATTTGTAAACAATCATGGACTGTTTTTGGTACTAGTCCTTCTTCCATTGTATTCTTACTGTTATTCCGGTGTGTTTTGCAAAGAAGTCATTTCTGCCCATCTGTATTTTTGGTCATTGAAACATTCTGCCTTTTCTGCTACAAGGTGGCGTCGGCTCAGTGGCAATGAGGTTTTTATTGTTCGTTTTCTCAGTTTGCCTTTTCACTTGGATTCCTTTCAAAATGGAATTTTAGCATTGGACATTACTTACATATTTGTGCTCATTATTTTTAAAATTCATGAATGTTGCTCCCCAGTAGTGGCGATTCTAAGAGTGAATGTTGAAAAAGGGTTATTTGTAAGTAGCCCACGCCTCTATTGGTTAGAAGTCTGAATCATACCATGATGCTTTTATGCGAGTTTTGCTATCCTATTACTTTTTGCCAGCTCTGCCTAATTTAGAGTCTCTGTCTTTAAAAGGTGAACAACGGGAGAGACACTGGATTATTCTATCTTCTAAGAGGCAATATTCCTTTCTCCACGGTCGTGAGCCATTATCATTCTGTTTATAAGTTCTTCTCAGTATTTGCAGTGGAATGTCAGAATTTTCAGGTCTATGTAACCTTTATTCTAGATATAATTTTAGTCTGAAAAACAAACCCTTCATAAGGTATGAATACCCTTTCAATTTATCTTAACGATCACGAGCAGGTATTTTTCTCTATTTACTAAACTCATAGTGTTCTTCCAAGCAACATTTATTTGTTGGGTGATAAAGTTTATTTTATATGTTTTATTGTGATATTATATTTGTTTTAACCGGTTAAAACAACCCAACACATTAAAACAAACTTTTCTGATGGAGGGGCCCAATCAGTGGATTTTATTGCTTTTCATGCCTGTACTGAGAAGTCAACAAAAGCAAAATGGAGCCACGTTAGCGTGAATTAGTACCGCTCTGTTTAATCACTGGGAACTTGCTCATATGCTTGAAATTGACTGTTGGCATAGAAGAGGACACGTTTGTGTGTGCGTCAATTATTTTTTATGTCCTCCTCATCCTCTGGTGTGGCTACACCCCAGGGTGACTTCTGTCTGTTCCTAACCCCAGAGGCAGGCTAATCTGAGGAGGAACCACTATTCCAAGAAAGTTCTCTGGGCTAATTACTGGCATTATCTCCCAGCTTGTTGAATGGCTCCTCCCCCATAAAGAACTCCGAGTCTGAGTTAGATGAACCTAATGAATATTTACGCCTCAAAATAAATTCAGCGAAGGGTTCTGTTAATCACCTCGCATGCTTCCCAGGGTGACGGCTGTCTGTGGGGACCTCACTGCTGAGGTCCTGCATCCTCCGCCATCCAGCCTCCCCAGCAGCTCAAGATTTAGGGTCAAAAACACGGTAACAAAAGGCTGAGGAAGCCCAATTGAGTTTCTTCAGCTGCCACGCAAAGGTGGATAGCATGAGCAGGGGGTGCTGCAGTGCGATTGTTAATTTGCACATCTATTAGGATCTTTAAATATTCATTACTTAGGGTTAAATGAACATTCTGATTAAAGAGGAGAGGCTTTTTCATACAATTCTTCTGACTTTGGAAATGCCAAGGGGTCAAAAGTGGCCGGCAAGCGCTAAGTGAGAAATCAGGTAGGGGCCATTTAGACTTACAAATTCAGAAGTAGAAACGCATTTGCCAGAAAGTAAATGATCAACAAAAAGCCCTTGCTTTTACAGGAGAGAGGGAGTGGGAAGAAACGAGAGTGTCCTTGTCTGACATTGTAACTTAGGTCCCTTCTCAAACTCCCTGTCGTCCATTCTGACTCAGAGTGACCCTTTAAACAGGGGCGACCTGCCCCTGTAAGTTTCTGAGACGAACTCTTTAGTGGAGTAGAAAGCCCCTCTTTCGATGTGGACCTGTTGCCAGGAACCACGATGTCACCAGGGCTCCTTTAGGTCACTTGGTTCCTCTTTTTAGGAGTTTGGTTGCAGTCCATCACTAGCTGGACACTGGATGGCTGACCAGTTTGTGACTGGGTGCTCAGGACTCATGTTCTGTGCTGGTTGCCATACCTGTCAAGGGGCCACGCCTGCTGTACAAATGAATTCATGGGCTGATAGTTCCTTGGTCGATTGTGCAGCCTCTGGATTGAAAGACATTTCCTTTTGCTGTGGGAATCAAACCTGTTTATCTGTTATGAAAAAAGAGATACTTTCTAGCACGTAAGTAAAAGCCGGACATTTGGGCCTGATTTATAGTTGAGACAGTGCCAGAGTTTGAATTCTGCAGTCCACAGCTGTGCTTATGACACAGCTTGTTTCTTATAAATTCAGCTAGCAGGCCTTCCTTCAAATGAGTGGGTCTTATTACATACTCAGAATATGATTGTATGCCCTATCAATCCAAATATAAGACAGATTGGGCCTTAACAATAATGTAACAAAATATTTTGTAGATTGCATATTGATTTTTCTAAAATGAAAGATGTATTTCAAATGACTCTTACTGTGTTATGGACTTACATCTTCTTCAGCAAAGGCTGGGGCTCTTTCTTTTTAGGTCTGAAATCAATTTCAATAACCTTAAACAATTGACCCCTTGTCAGACGTATGTATGCACACGGTTTCATTATTTAAAGAACTAGTAAACACGGAATCCTGCCGGTTCCTTTTCATTATTTAAAGAACTAGTAAACACGGAATCCTGCCGCTTCCTTTAAAAATAAAGCCGATACCAAACTGCAATTGTCAGTGGTAAAGGATGAGTTTTGAAAGAGGGTATAATCATAAAAGAAGCCCTGTGGTGCACTGGGCTACTCATCACCAGGTTGGCAGTTCAAACACACCAGCCACGCACAGGAGAAAGAGGAGGCTGCCTGCTCCTGGAGAGGTTTCGAGTCTCAGAAACTCGAAGGAGCAGTCTCTGTCCAGGAGTCAGGTCTCCAGGGCGGTGCATGTGTGTTGTTTGTAGGTGTAGTAGATTACTTAACACGGCCCTTCCGGCGCTGATCTCTTTGGGATGTAAACTCTGGCCTCTCTGCCTGTGGTTGTAATGCCTTTTCAGAGGGAGTTTTCTGCTTTGCCAGTGGGCAGGATTACCGTGGGTTTCATTTTCCACACTAGTAGAGGCTGTGGCTTAAGTTACCACCCTTTGTTTCTGCCGAAAGGTAAGGACCACACTTCCATCAAAGCCTTTCCTCTGTGTAGAAGAGCCATTTCCGAAACACAGAGAGAAAGGCCAGAACCATTGGAAGTGGGGCACATTCAGGATCTCTGTTGGACGGTGGAGGCCTAGACCAGAAGCCCCAGAGGCTGTGGCACAGAGACTACAGGACAGAGCAAAAGAGTCAGGCTGAGACCAGAGGTCAGGGCAAGGAGACCATGAGCCAGAGCAGAGGAGCAGCGTGGACACGATGGGACTGTGAGTCGGAGTGACAGGCGAGCTTACTGGCGCACAGAGGCAGAAGCCAAAGGATCACGTGCCTGAGAGGCCGAAGACCAGAGAGAGATGTGACTGCTGGTTGAGGAGAGGCGTTGCTGTGGACCAATGACTATGTCCTCACTGTTTACTGATCCTGACTTGTAGTTACTGGGTAACTTTCCTGTGAACCCCCTAACTGCGAGTACTCGAGAGTTTGCTGTGGCCATTGCCAGGAATTACTGACCCCAGCCTAGTTGTAGAGTACCTGGTGGGGAATGGCTGGTGTCCGAATGGATAAAGATGGATGGAGGCTGGAGGCATGTTTAACTTCTGCTTGGTGGTGATAGTAAAGCCAGAGGAGGTCAGAGCTGGCCCCCCTCTGCACCATTTCCTCAGGTGGTATAATGAATTTCATGTGTACCCAAGATTTTACTTCACTCAGTAATGTAGTGTGTTCATTTGGATAGACTAGGGAAACAAATTCATGGATACTCCTGTATGTGCAAGAGATAATTTTATATAAAGAAGTAATTATGCATTAAGAAAACACCCCAGACCAGTCCAGATCAAGTCTATAAGTCTGATATGAGCCCATATGTCCGACATGAGCCCATGAATTCTTCTTCAGACTCACACAGCACATGCAATGATGCCGAATGCAGGCAGATCCCGGGTCGGTGGGTGCAAAGTCCTATGGATTCAGTGGCAGTGGATGCATCTCCGGGGCTCTGGCTGCCGTCAGCCTGGCCTCATTCTTTTATCAAGTTGACATGAAATTGTGTGACCTCCACACGTGGGAACCTGTATGATGCTACAGCCAGTTTGGTGGGAAGTTCAAAGAATAGAGGCATAGACAGAAAGCCAGGAATTCCGAAGTCAAGTGCAAAATGATTCTCTTCTCAGGGGACTACTCAATAGTTCCTTTGTAGTCACACAATTAATTTGTATTCCAATGCACAAGGACAAGGAGTATTATCAGTTTTCTGTAACTTACAGAATGACCGAATAAGTCAGACAATGAGTCAGGCCTTGATAATTCAGTTGAATGAGCTAGTATCTACTATTCGGCCTTTTACAATTTTTCTTGACAAGGACAAACGTTTACCTACAAAGAATTTTAAGGAATTTGCAGACCTTGCCAACTTAATGTCACTGCAGCAATGAAGTGCGTTTAAAGGTGAATTGTCTGACCTCGGGGTTCACAAAGGAGAATCCAGCAGGACAGCAAACCTCTGCCCTGCCCCCCATCTTTCCTCACTCGATTCTGACACCAATCGTCCCTTCCACCGCACTGTACCTTGCTGCTGGATTTGATAATTTGTTATAATGCCACAACTCACAGACAATATTTCCGATTATGGGGTTCATTAGGGAAGCTACCAGCTTGCAAAATGCATAGGATACAGCATAGGATCAAACACAGGAACAACTGAGAGGCTGGTGCAGGGCCAGGCATTGTTTCATTCTGCTGTGCATGAACTCGCCATGTGTGGCAACTGACTAGCTGGCAGCTAACAACACCAAATCCACTTACAGAATGTGAGGAATATAGAGCTTTGTTCTCAGCCATGCTGAAGCCATGTCTTTCTTTCTCTGGTTCTCCGTCTGTTGGTCCCTCGATCTCTCTGTGTCACATGATCTTGACTCTGCTGCGGGTTCTAGTGCCTCTGGTGGCCCCACCGCTTCCGACACAGGGCTCTCGCATGTGCTCTGCTGGTGGCTCTGCTTTCTTGAAAGGCAGGGGACTCTCCCTCCTTGCTTCAGAGATGGCTCACTTATAAACCCATTGCCAGCCACCCTATTTGCATGGCCCCACCCAATCACTTGGTATGTGTTCCACAGGCGTGGAGAGAAGAGATAGTCCAAGGAGTTGCACTTCCACAAAAAAAACCCTTTTTTTTTTTAGAGAACAATCTTTACACAATTATACAGAATATATATCAAATAAGGTGGTCGTGTCCTAGAGGAAAAAAGACCCCAAATTCAAATGCACTTTAGAGAGATTTCTTGGTTTAAGTCTTATGACAAAGACAGACAACAGTCATCATCGTGATGAGGTAGACAGACCATCTGCGGGCGACCTGACAAGTGTAGTCGAAGGGTTCATGGCCATACGAGTAATTGTACATGTTGGAAAAGCAAACGAATCTGTCACAGAATCATTGATGACAGATCAGTTCTGCCCAATCACAGGTGGGACTGTGGACGCAGAAAGGGATAGTGATTGAGAGAGAGCATGACTGCGGATTAGAAAAGCTTATAGAATTGCTTCTGGGACCCTCTGCCCACACTCACCTTGGCCATGGTAGGCCTCCTGGCCATGCCAGCTTGGTCCCCATTTTCATTGGGAGTAAAAATGGGCATGTTCTTGAGGGCAAGACTGCATCTCCTTGGGTTGGCTGAGGTAGTCACAGCAAACACTGCCAAGGGCAAAGCTTCTGACGTTGTTGGTCAATGGC